AGTATTTGGCTTTATGGGATTAGCTTATTTAGCATAATATTCTCCAGTTCTATCCATTTACCTATGCCATAATTTTATTCTCTTTTAATGCTGAGTAATATTCCACTGGGTATATATATATATATATATATATATATATATATATATATATATCACATTTTCTTTATCCATTCTCTACCAAAGGGCAACTAGGTTGGTTCCACAATTTAGCTATTGTGAATTGTACTGCTATAAACATTGATGTCATTGCATCACTGTAGTATGCTGTTTTTAAGTCTTTGGGGTATAAACCAAGGAATAGGATAGCTGGGTCAAATGGTGGTTCCATTTCAAGTTTTCCAAGGAATCTCCATACTGCTTTCCATATTAGTTGCACCAATCTGTGGTCCCACTAGCAATGTATGAGTGTGCCTTTTTCCCCACATCCTCATTAATATTTATTGTTGTTTGTATTCTAACTACCTGCCATTTTGACTGGAGTGAGATGAAATTTTAGAGTAGTTTTGATGTGCATTTCTCTAATTGCTAAAGATGTTGAACATTTTTTCATATATTTGTTGATTGATGGTATATCATCTTCTGAAAATTGTTCAGTTAATTTGCCCATTTATTGATTGGATTATTTGGTTTTTTTGGTGTTAAGATTTGTGAATTCTTTATATATCATAGAGATTAGTGCTCTATCTGATGTGCATGTGATAAAAATTTGCTCCCATTCTGAAGGCTCTCTATTCACCTCACTGATTATTTCTTTTGCTGAGAAGAAGCTTTTTAGTTTGAATCCATCCCATTTATTGATTCTTGGTTTTATTTCTTATGCTATATGAGTCTTTATTAAGGAAGCCAGGGCCTAATTCGACATGATAAAGATTAGGGCCTACTTTTTCTTCTATTAGGCGCAGGGTCTCTGGTTTAATTCCTAGGTCTTTGATCCACTTTGAGTTGAGTTTTGTGCATGATGAGAGATAGGTGCTTATTTCATTTTGCTGCATATGGATTTCGTTTTCCCAGTACCATTTGTTGAAGAGGCTATCTTTTCTTCAATATTTGTTTTTGGTGCCTTTGTCTAATATGAGATAACTGTATTTATGTGGGTTTGTCTCTGTCCTCTATTCTGTACCATTGGTCTACAAATCTTATTTCGGTGCCAATACCATGATGTTTTTGTTACTATTGCTCTGTAGTATAGTTTAAGATCTGGTATAGTGATGCCACATGTTTCATTGCTTTGGCTATTCTGGGTCTCTTATTTTTCCAATTAATTTCATGATTGCTTTTTCTACTTCTTTTTTTTCTTTTATTTTTTTACATTTATTTTTTAGTTATAGTTGGACACAATACCTTTATTTTGTTCATTCACTTTTTTTAATGTGGTGCTGAGGATCAAACCCAGGGTCTCGCACATGTGAGGTGAGTGCTCTACCGCTGAGCCATAACCCCAGCCCTGCTTTTTCTATTTCTATGAAGAATGTCATTGGGATTTTGATTGGAATTGCATTAAATCTGTGTAGTGCTTTGGTAGTATGGTCATTTTGACAATATTAATTCTGTCTATCCAAGAACACAGGAGATCTTTCCATCTTCTAAGGACTTCTTCAATTTTTTCTTTAGTGTTCTGTAGTTTTCATTGTAGAAGTCTTTCACCACTTTCATTGATTACCAAGTATTTCATTTTTTATTTGAGGCTATTGCAAATGGGGTAGTTTTCCTAGTTTCTCTTTCAGAGGATTTGTCACTGATGTACAAAAAAATGTCTTTGATTTATGAGTGTTGATTTTATATCCTGCTACTTTGCTGAATTTATTTATTCTAGAATGTTTCTGATGGAATTTTTTGGTATAGAATCAAGTCATCAGCAAATATTGATAGTTTGAGTTCTTCTTTTCCTATCCATATCCCTTTAATTTCTTTCATCTGTCTAATTGCTCTGGCTAGAGTTTCAAGAACTGTGTTAAATATAAGTGGTAAAAGAGGGCATCCCTGTAGAGGAAATGCCTTCAATGTTTCTCCATTTAGAATGATGTTAGCCTTCAGCTTAACATAGATATCTTTTACAATGTTGAGATATATTCCTGTTATCCCTAGTTTTTCTAGTGTTTTGAACATGAAAAGGTGTTGTATTTTCTCAAATGCTTTTTATGCATCTATTGAGATGATTATATAGTTCTTATTTTTAAGACTATTGATGTGATGAATAACATTTATTGATTTCTGAATGTTGAACCGACCTTGCATCCCTCGAATGAACACCACTTGATTGTGGTGCACTGTCTTTTGGATACATCCTTGTATTTGATTTGCCAGAATTCTATTGACAATTTTTACATCTATGTTCATTAGAGGTAATGGTCTGAAGTTTTCTTTCTTTAATATGGCTTTGTCTGGTTTTGGAATCAGGGTGATATTGGCCTCATATAATGAGTTTGGAAGTGTTCCCTGTTTTTCTATTTCATGAAATAATTTGAGGAGTATAGGTATTAGTTCTTCTTTGAAGGTCTTATAGAACTCAAATGCGTTTCCATCTGGTCCTGGGCTTTTCTTGGTTGGTAGGCTTCTGATGGCGTCTTCTATTTCAATGCTTGAAACTGATCTGTTTAACTTGTATATATCATCCTGATTCAGTTTGGGCAAATCATCTGACTCTAAAAATTTGTCGATGTCTTTGATATTTTCTATTTTATTAGAGTACAAATTTTAAAAATAATTTATAATTATCTCCTGTGTTTCTGTAGTGTCCATTGTGATATTTCCTTTTTCATCAATAATTTTAGTAATTCAAATTTTCTCCCTCCTTCTCTTCATTAGCATGGGTAAGGGTTATTCAATTTTATTTATTTTTTCAAAGAACCAACTTTTTGTTTTGTCAATTTTTTCAGTTGTTTCTTTTGTTTCAATTTCATTGATCTCAGCTCTGATTTTAATTATTTCCTGTCTTCTGCTTTTGGTATTGATTTGTTCTTCTTTTTCTAGAGCTTTGAGATGTAATGTTAGGTCACTATTTGTTGACTTTTTCTTCTTTTAAGGAATGAACTCCATGCAATGAACTTTCCTTTTAGTACTGCTTTCATAGTATCCCAGAGATTTTGATATGTTGTATCAGTGTTTTCATTTACCTCTAAGAATTTTCAATCTCCTCTTTGCTGTCTTTTGCAACCCATTGTTCATTCAGTAGCATATTATTTAGTCTCCAGGTGTTGGAGTAGCTTCTATTTTTTATTTTATCATTGATTTCTAATTTCATTCTATTATGATCTGATAGAATGCAGGGTAGTCTCTCTACTTTTTGTATTTGCTAAGAGTTGCTTTGTGGCATGAAATATGGTCTATTTAAGAGAAGGATCCATGTGCTGCTAAGAAGAAAGTATATTCAATCATTGATGGATGAAATATTCTATGTATGTCTGTTAAGTCTAAGTTATTGATTGTATTATTGAGTTCTGTAGTAGCTTTTGAAAGATCCAACCAGTGGTGAAAGAGGTGTGTTAAAGTCACTCAGAATTATTGTGTTGTGGTCTCTTTGACTCTTGAACTTGAGAAGAGTTTGATAAATGTAGATGCTCCATTGTTTGGGGCATATATATTTATAATTGTTATGTCTTGTTGATGGATGGTTCCCTTAAGCAGTATGAAATGTCCTTCTTTATCCCTTTGGATTAACTTTAGATTGAAGTCTACTTTATTTTATATGAGGATGGAAACCCCTGCTTGTTTCCGCAGTCCATGTGAGTAGTATGTTTTTTCCCAACCTTTCACCTTCAGTCTATGGATGTCTTTTCCTATGAGATGAGTCTCTTGAAGGCAGCATACTGTTGGGTCTTTTTTTTTTTCTATCCAGCCTGCCAGTCTATATCTTTTGATTGATGAGTTTAGGCCATTAACATTCAGGATTATTATTGAGACATGATTTGTATTCCTGGTCATTTTTGTTTTTGTTATTTCATTTGACTTGATTTCTCCTTTGATTAGTTTTTCCTTTAGTGTAATACTACCCTTTGCTTATTTTCATTGTTTCTTTTTCATTTCCTCCTCATGGGATATTTTGCCGAGGATGTTCTAATGTAGTACAGGTTTTCTAGTTGTAAATTCTTTTGTTTATTATGGAAGGTTTTTATTTAATCATCAAATCTAAATCTTATTGGGAATTGTTTTTTGAAAATATTTCAAAAATATTTGTGTATTATCCTTGCATAGAGGCCATGCTAATCTTCTCTGTATCATTCCAATTTTAGTGTATGTGCTGCTGAAGCAAGCACTGAAATTGACTTTAACTTAAGAGAGGGGACATGGAATTATGATAAATGAGATTTTGATTTTTTTTTTTTTTTGGTACCAGGGATTGCAGCCTCTATCTTACTTTTCCAGTCTTCCCCTATGCTGTAGCATACATCCCCAGTCTAGACATTTGTTTCCTGTTTCCTTCCCATCCTATCTCTGGTGTTTTCCAGAGTTTTGCTTCTGCTAAACTCATTAAAACACTAGCTGATAAGAAAGGTGTTTATGCCCCTGTGAAAGTCAGCATGTAAATTACCCAAGGTGTATTTTGAGTTTCCATAAAAGTATGGAAAACCAGAGGTATTCAAGGCTCTGATGAATAAAGCTTTAATAACCAGAATAATGCCCTCTTCAATCATACCACCTTGACGGCCATCCTTCTGACTGCTGATCAGTCATAAGACCAGCCTAGGAGATACTACTCCCACATTTACCTTCTCAAAACATTCAGCCAATAAACACTACTTGGGCATCACTGTATAAATGAGAGGTAAATAAAGAAGGGATGTGTAAGCAGCTGGGAAAGTAAGACTTGAGAGCAGAAAATTTTTTCTTCCCAAAATTATAAAAGCAGATTCAAAATATGTAGATATAGGTTTATTTTTCACCAGGAATTATACCTGATATCAAAACTTAAATTGGTTCAAAAAAATATTGCCTCCAGATATATTGGTAAAATAATGGGGATCTTTAATATTTTTATTTGGTTTTGTTTTCCTTGGAACCAGGTTATTCAGAGAATATTCTACACGGTCAACAGATCTTGGAGTGGAAAAATTACTTCGACAGAGATAAGAAAAAGCAACTTTTTGCAAGTATGCCTCTCATACAGTGATATAAAGAACAATTTAATCCTTTTACTTCATTTAACAAATATTTGAGTGCTTAATGTATGCAAAGCTTTATCACTACTTTTAGACATTAAGCATTTATCAAATACCTATAGTGAGAGACCAGAATGTGTTGGAGGGTGAGGGGAGGAGGAAAATTGAATAGCAAGGCATATCTGCCTTAAGGCATGCAATGTGGAGCAAGAGAGAGACAAGCACAGACAGCAGCAGCAGACTTGATAGATTCCACAGACATGTGTAAAAGATGCAGAGAAGGTCTCATAGAAGGGATGGCATGTGGTCTTGACTTGGAGGATGTCAGGAGTTTACCAAGATAAAAAATTAGTACAAAGGGAATTCTGGACAAAAGAAGCAGCATAAGCAAAAGGCAAAGACATGAAAGTGTCATGTTCAAGAACTGCCAAACAGTATTAAGTGGCCAGAAGCCCTTGGGAGAGTGACCATTGATGAGGCTGGAACCAGGTTGGGGAAGTGCCTTACTAAAGAAATGGAAGAATATGGACCTGATTCTTTCTGCAGTGAGTTTATCCAACTACTGCTGAAGAACGGTACTAAAAATTCCTTTAAAATAGGAATACATTTCATTCAGTTATTTTATCAAATGAAAGTATTGACCACTAGTGGGAGCCTTTTACTGAGGTAATCTTCATGCCTGATCACAGCTTCTATAAAACTAAAGTAGAACTGTTTTGACTTAAAAACAAATGTTTTTGTTTTTGTTTATGCATTGCTGGGTATTGAACCCAGGGGCACTTTACCACTGAGCTGCATCTCATGTTCTTTTTATTTTTTTGAGATAGGGTTTCACTAAGTTGCTGAAGCTGACCTCAAACTTGCAATCCTCCTGTCAGCCTACCAAGAAATGTTTTATTTTAAATGAATCTTAGTAAATGAAGCTTTGGCAAATAATACAACCTTATTACTGTTTATTTTTTCCCGAGACAGTCATGGTATTGAAGATTTGGCCAAATTAACAGTTCATAATATATTTTAAAACATTTTGTTCTAAAATGATCAGTAATTTTGATGCTTATTGAATGAATACCTGATGCCTGCTTCAGCTCTCAGTAGTATTATGGAATGTGTTAAGATGATAGTATTTCCATAACATCTTTTTTTAAATTTTTAATTGTAGATGACATAATAACTTTATTTTATTGTGTTGTATTGTATTGTGTTGTATTTATGTGGTGCTCAGGATCAGACCCAATGCATCACACATACTAGGGAAGCACTCTACCACAGAGCCACAACCCCAGCCCTCCATAACATCTTAAGAACAATGATAATACTCCCTCACATTTTCTGAAGTACATTATCATTTGTAGTTTTTGAATCATTATTATTATAATCAATTTTTTACTGATAATAAAACTTGAGTCTCAAATATAATTGACTATATTGCATAAGAGTATACAGCAGGCAGATTGCTGAACTGGAAATAGAACTCAAATGTTCTCTTTTTGGAGTATAATTTATTTTTGTCTCCCTTTTCTTCCCTATCTCTTGCCTTAGTCTTTCTTTTAGTACATGAACAACTATTCCAAACTTACAAATAATATGGATATATCTAGATTAAAAGATAAGCAAAAGTTGCTCTTTGTCTTTACTCTGCCATTTGACTCTCCTTCCCAGAAAGAACCCATATTATCCGTAGTTTTATTTCCTTGTAAATGCATATATGGAATACATAATTTTGTGTGGCTGCTATTATGAGGACTTTTCCCCCTAATATATGGGTTCATACTTACTATTCTGGTAACTTGTTTATTAACAGTGTCTTAGACTTCTTTCATTTCCATTCATGTAAATCTATCTCATTTCTCCTAACAACTGCATTATCAATTGCATGCTGCACTTTAATTACATATTCCTCAATTTCAGATTTTCTCTATTACAGTGGTGTAGAAAACATCCTTATACTTTCCTTTTGGCTGTATATAAGCCAGAAATTTCCTACAGAATAGACCACTGGAGGGAAAATCCTGCATCAAATGGCATGTAAAATTTTAACTTGATAGATTCTGCCTAGTTCATTCCTTCACTTACATACTCACCAACAAAAGAAGACATTTTTCTTCTTTATGTTGTGACAATCCAGTAGGTGAAAGATTTGTTTTATTACTGACAATATTCTGCTTTATACACATGAAAAGATATTTTATAAAACAAACCATTTACAAGAAAATTTAGAACACAGAAGAAAAACCACATTTTACTCCTCTAATGCAAGTAGTGCCATTTTTGTATGTTATTCTAGCCCCATTCATATGCGTGTATGGATTTGGGGGATTTTGTACAGTTCTTGATATGTATAATCTTGCAGCCTATATTTTGCCCTTACTACATCATGGTTTTCCTATATTTATATGTAGACTATAATTTTTACTCACCACAAAATCTTCCATTAATCAGATTTGCCATAATTTAATAATTTCTGTTGTTTTCAATTTACCAGAGCATTTTGGTTTCTGTCTGCATTTAAAAAATAATTTTTATCAAAGTAATGCATTTGTATTATGATACAGTCCTCTCTGTCCTTTGATTTTCATCTTGAATTCCATTTTATTTTCTACTAATATTAATACATATTTTCCTTTTCATTGACTACTTTTATTAATATTACCTTTTTATATTTACCTTTCTTTTTTTACTGTAGGTGTAACCTCTTATAGATATTCATATACCAAAATCATCTTTCTAGATTTGGTTTTCATACTCAATCAAAAAATCTTTCAGGGATCTGGGATTATGGCTCAGTGATAGAGTGTTTTTGAGTGTTTGCCTGGTACATGTGAGGCACTGGGTTCAATCCTCTGCCACATTAAAATAAAGAAAAATAAAACAAAGGTTATTGTGTGCATCAACAACTAAAAATATTTTTTAAAAGTCTTTCACTATAGTATTACATGAAAGACTTTTTTAAAAAATATTTTTAGTTGTTGTGCACACAATAACCTTTGTTTTATTTTTATTTATACTATAGTGATATAGCCACATCAATGTTTATAGCAGCTCAATTCACAATAGCTAGACTATGGAACCAACCTAGGTGTCCCTCAATAAATGAATGGATAAACAAAATGTGATAAATATACTCAATGGAATATTACTCAGCTTTAAATAAGAGTGAAATTAGGGCATTTGTCAGTAAATGGTTGGAGTTGGAGAATATCATGCTAAGCGAAATAAGCCAATCTCACAAAACCAAAGGCCGAACATTTTTTCTAATATGCAGATGCTAATTCACAATAAGACGGGGAGTACTAGGGAAGAATAGCATTACCTTAGATTAGGTAGAGGGAAGTGATGGGGAAGGAGGGGAGGGGATGTTGGGATAGGAAAGATAGTAGAATGAAACACATTATTACTCTATGTATATATGTGACTATATGACCAATATGATTCTGCAACATATACACTCAGAAAAATGAGAAATTATATCCTATCTATGTATGATATATCAAAGTGCATAAATTCATTCTACTGTCATGTATAACTAATTAAAACAAATTAAGAAAATTTTTTAAAGTCTTTCAGTAGGGAGATTAAGCTCATCTATCTTTATTGTGATTATTGACATATCTGACCTTATTTCTGCCAACTGACTTTTTTTCTATTCATTGTTTCCTTTCTTTTTTAAAAGAGAGAGAGAGAGAGAGAGAGAGAGAGAGAGAATTTTTTAATATTTATTTTTCAGTTTTCGGCGGACACAATATCTTTGTTTGTATGTGGTGCTGAGGATCGAACCCGGGCCGCACGCATGCCAGGCGAGCGCGCTACCGCTTGAGCCACATCCCCAGCCCTATTCATTGTTTCCTTAAGGTTTCTTTTTGAATATTCCATTTCTGAAATTGTTCATTTATCTACTCATTTAATTTGGCTCACTATAGAATCATGTGTTTATAATCTTTACTTCTGATGTTTTCCTTAGGGATACATAGTGAGTCAAGAAACTCAGTTTTCTTCTAGCTCAGGATCCTGCAGCTCCACCCACCATGCCTTCTATGCAAGGCCACCACCATATATTACCACAATTGTGTGTATAACTAATCTTATGGTATCCTTGATTTCATTACAAATAAATGCTGTATGTGATTCCCAAGCTTCTTAATATTGTTCACATAACTTTTAAAAGTTAAGAGCAGTGTTAGTTTATGGCCATGCATTTTAAGTCTATCATCTGATTGTTCTGTGCCTGCCAGTCTGGGAGACCTTTGAGAGGTTACAGCCCTCTTAGTGATGATCCTTCCCTCTCCTTGCTTTTGTATCCTCCACATCATTTTGCTTTTGTATCCTCCACATCATAGCCTTTTACTGATAAGTATATCACAGAGCTCAATAAATGCTTGTAGATGAATCAGTTGATTAAAGGTAGTAGAAGGTTACCTGTTAAAAAAAAGTACCTGGTTTAGTACAAAAGACAAAATTTTAAATTCAATTTAAAACAGAAACTTGCTAGACTACAATGCCTAAGCTTGTTTTTCATAATTTTAAAATTAATCTTCTATTCATATTATTTTCAGACTCTAGCCCTTTTAGAAGAAGAGGAAGATATAAATCAAATCACAGATTACTTCTCCTATGAACATTTCTATGTTATATATTGTAAATTCTGGGAGCTAGATAGTGATCATGACCTGTTCATCAGCCAGGCCGATCTCTCTCGATATAATGACCAGGGTGAGTAATTCTGCAGAGGCTAAGAAATGTTTAAGGCTTAAACATTTTGAAAATGTTATTTTGAAAAGTTATGTAAATTATTCCCACTCATTATGAGAAATTTCTATTTCTTAAATTCTGTGGCTAACCGGATTTCTTTACAGAGCCAAAAATTCTTTTGTGGAAACAAAGTTGTTTTTTGTTTTTTTGTTTTTAATTTAGAGGCCAGATTTATAAGGGGTTTAAAGGTAAGTAAACAATACCACTATTAGTTTTGATAAAGTGGCAAGACTTTGTAGTGATGTGTATCTTTATGATGATGAATTGAATAAAATTCACACCTCTGTAAATCTATATGAAAGAGTATATATGTGTGTGTGTGTGTGTGTGTRTRTRTATATATATATATACACACACACATACACACTTTTTATAAACTTTTTCATTTAACAATATTTCTATAAAAGGCCAAGAATGAAAATAATGTCTCTACCTTATCAAGTTTTATTTTCAAGGACCCTTACAGAATTTTACTTTTTCAGTTTTATTCCAGAAAGATATTTTCCTCTGAAGATGAATTTTGTGTGATTTTGTAAGAAAAGAAAAAATTACATGTCAGACAATATTACGCTTTTTGCTTCATTTTTGCTCACTGCAAACTTAGAACCTATTGCCTACTGATTGAATATTCTTAATTAAGCACCAACATACAATGATTCATTCTTCTGTCATAAGATTATTCCTGTTCTGTCCTTAAATATTTTCTCAGCCTTTTTAGATGTAACAGAGTATAGATCTTAAATAAATGTATTGAATATTGTTTGTTATTTGGTGTATCTGTGACTAATGGTTTGTGGCAGTTCTCCTTCTCAGGTTCCAAGCAAACATAAAGGGGAAATACTTCATGTAACTTATTTGATAAACAAACATATTAGTACTGTTACCTCCCATCATCAAGTAGTCATAACATTTTTGTCACTAAAATATACCATAAAGATGAATATATTCATAGAGGTATATGATCAGCCCTATTAGCCCTGTACCTTTCTATTACCCATAACAGATCATCCATACATGAGCGAGCCTCAAAAAATCATGCACAATCCTATGGACTCTAAAGCTCCCTTTCTGGTTGCTATAAACGTAATTTTCAAGTTCTCAAAAATCCTCTCATAATAGCAACTCACTAGATTCATTTGAATGGGACAAAGTTCAGAAAAGCAGGCATCTAGGTCTGAATAAATGCAGAGACCTCTAAACTGTAAATAATTCTTCACTCAGCAACTGTGCTTAATGGGACAGTATAGAATAATATGATCTTCAGGGTTAGGAAATGGAATCATTGCTTCCAAAGCTAAAAAAGACTTAAGAAAAATCATAGCTTTGGAATTAAATATCCTTGCTTTCCCTATATACCCCTTCTTTTCTATATAGTACAAATTATTAACCCCATACGATAGTGCTCAATAAAGTATAGAGGGTCTTTATGTAAGCTTTTTTGTGTGGCCAGGTATGACTCTCCTGGCACACACATTCAAAGTTTTCTTCTACTAGACTGATGTACCTTTATGTTGACTATATCTAACAGCATGCAGAAAAACTAGATGTCAATAGCTGCTAACTCCCCATTAACCTCATCATGGGTCCTGAAATTCTAGTGTGTATGCCATTGCCTGGGGTACTTGTTAAAAGAGCAGTTCTGAGACCTAAGATCTCCTTTTTTTTTTTTTAATTTAAATTAATGCCTTTGGCTGTTTGAATCACAGTGAGGTATACTGCTATAGATTTTTTAGCATCAGTTATCAAAAAGCAATATATCATCTTAAGATATAATTATCTATATAAATAAGACTTACAGATAGAATTTCTAAAAATTTTGTTATATCCTGGACTTTCATAGAATGGGAATTAAGAAAGTATGTTCATGATATGTTTTAGTTTCTTTTCTAAAACTCTGCTTAAAAGAATTCTCCATTGTTTTACTTGCTTTCATTTGACCTTTTTTTAGGAGCTGTAAAAATCAGTTCCCCCTTGAATTAATGCTGAGATAACGTTTGTCTTGTTTTAGAGGAAATTTTGTCTCATGGATAACAAAAATCAATATAAATTTTATACATATAAGCTCAACTACATAAATACGTTGCAAATGTCAAGCACATTCATTTCCTTATTCTTTTTTAAAATTACTGGAAAAAAAGCATAAATTATATATAAGAAAGATTTACTCATATTCTTGTCATAGAAGATGACATAGAAGATGTCATAGAAGATGGTTTAGCTTGTAGCAAATGAAAATAAATTTGCCAGAAGTATTGCTTACATGAAGTATATTTCTAACTATCTTTGTAATTTGTTATTTACATTTAGCATCATCAAACAGAATTATTGAAAGGATATTTTCTGGGGCAGTAACAAGGTAAGAAAAAGTTTAAAATCTGAATTAAAACATAACTATCAGTAATAATGTAATAATCTCATATTAGCAAGGCTTCTTGTATAATTTGGCAGCACTATTGGGTCAAATAATATCCTAAAAAAAAACCCCACAATCATGGTTTAATGTAAGACAGTAATTCTCTTTAACATAAGAATTAGTCTTAGGCTGGAGTAGTGGCTCAGTGGTAGAGCACTTGCCTGGCATGTGTGAGGCCCTGGGTTCGATCCTCAGCACCACATATAAATAAATAAATGAATAAAATTTTAAAAATCTATTGACAACTAAAATATATATATATTAAAAAAAAGAATTAGTCTTATACCTAAATACAGGTAACAATATTTGATACCATTATTTGTATTTAAATTAGAAACCATATTTTCTTTTCTTCATATTTGTAAATATCTTCTGATTTCACCCTGGAGGCCTTTAAAAAAAGAAGTTAGGCCACAAAATGTGCCGTTTATGAGGTACCCAGTATTCTACTTTTTCAAAAAGTAGAATCCTTCCTCTCTAAGGAAGGATGTTATTTTATTCCTTAATTGCTCAGAAAATTTTACATCTTGCATTTTTATTCAGAGGAAAAACAGTTCAGAAAGAGGGAAGAATGAGCTACGCAGATTTTGTTTGGTTTTTGATCTCTGAGGAAGACAAGAGGAATCCTACCAGGTATGACTTTTACATTTTATTTTCTTAGATGTTAAACACATGCACAAAGCTTTAAAGGTCATGACAGATATCTGTGGGAGCTGATTCTACCTGAGGATGCTAAAATGGGTTAAACTTAATCTCTGCCCTATCAGAGCTCTCAGTTTAGGGAAGGAGACAGACATAGAATTCTTGGCCACAGCATATCATGAGAAATACTGTTAACCTACAGAAACAATGGTGAAGTGGCACATAAACTGGTCTGGAGGGATCAGTAACATTAGTAAGCATTTATATGGAATATGGGAGTAGATACTTTGAATTTTAGTTCTTTTATGATCTTAATCATTCAGTGGTAAATTGGAGAAGGAAAGAAAAGCAAATTGTGGCTGAGTAGTATATAAAACCATGCCCTCATTCTCCCAGTTGGAATCACCTCTTCCTTTCCTTGACACTTTCAACCATTGATTTGTAGTTGTGAATTTGTAAGTCTTTTTCTCCCCACTACTGTGCCTCTTATTTAAGTCAGAAATATAGGTCCCTGGCTTTTATATATAATCCCTATCTTGTGTAACACAGTGCTCTGTACATAATTTGTGCTCCTTATCAAGGGAGGCAGAGAATGCAATCTTTGATGCTGTGGTAAGTGTAACTGACTCAGCTATTTTCACATTAGCTCAAAAAGTTATGTAAATATTGGATATACGTTTATAAATCATTGAAAAGGAAATAAAAATAGCTTCCATATCTTAGGGTAATATGTTTTATTTTTAAATAACTGTTTTCTACTTCAAATATAGTAATTTATTGTCTATTCTAGATAACTTAGAAAACATTGAGGAGCAAAAGAAAAGCAAATTTAATACTAACAATTCTAATATCCAAAAAACATCTATATTATGTGGTCTTTTCGTATATTCTTTTACGTGTTATTTGCCATTTTAGACTATTTTCAGTGTATTAAATCATTTTCTTTCTTTTTCAAATGGGGTATTGCTATGTTGCCTAGGGCCACCATCTCCTGGGCTCAAGCAATACCCCTGTCTCAGCCTAGGCACATACCATTGGATTAAATCTTAATTAATATAAATCCAAATTTTTCATGGAATATTCTCTAAAATGTCCTCTAATATTCATTACAGCTGAAGAGTTGAAGTATCCACTATTTTTCCATAGAATAAATTCCCAGAAAAGGAATTGCTAGTTTAAAAGGTGTAGAAATTTTTTAAGAAGAAAAATGGTATGTTCATACATTTATCAACCTATTTCCTAGGATCCTTACTAACACTAAGCATCTTCCTACGAAAACTATTTTCCAATTTGATCAGTTAAAAATGCAGTATCATCATAATTTGTATTTCTTTGATTTCTAGGGAGGTTGGGTATATACAATTACATGTTACTTAACATTGGGGATACGTGTTCTGGGAAATGCATTATTAGGTGATTTTGTAGTTGTATGAACAATAGTGTGTACTTTCACAAACCTGGGTGGTATAGTCAATATCAACATGGCCTCTTGATGCAGTCAAGAAACTAGATAAAGTAGTACACCATAATGACAAAAATGGTAGTATAGTAAATATATAAACCAGTAACATAGTTGTGTATTATAAGTCTTATGTGTTGTATGTGCTATACTTTTCTACAATTGGCAATGCAGTAGGTGTGTTTACACCGGCAACACAACAAACACATGAGCAATGCATTGTGGTACAATGACAGCTATGACATCATTAGGCAATAGGAATTTTTCATCTCTATTATCTTATATGACAGCCATCGTATATGTGGTCTATCACTGACCAAAACATCATTGGGCAGAACATAACTGTGTATATTTCTGGGCCATTTTAATTTTGTTGTAGATGACTTGCCTTTTTTTGTATGTTTTGCTCATTTCTGCTGGATTTTTTAAAATATTTTTTAATTGTCAATAGACTTTTATTTTATTTATTTATATGTGATGCTAAGAATCAAATATGATGCCTCTCACATGCTAGGCATGTGCTCTTCCACTGAGCTAAAACCCCAGCCCCAATTTTTTAAGTGTATTATTTTATCACAAGTATAACTTATTGTAAATTTTAAAATATATGTAATCTAAAACCTTATCATAAAATTTATTCATAATTTTCTGACCTATAATTAACAGTTTGGTCTATATTGTTCTACTCCCCCTCTTCCTTCCAGCCATCTCCTGCTCATCTTCCCTTTGCTTCACCTCACTTCCTCTTCCTCCTCCTCTTTTTCCCTACTTCACATGATATGTTATGATAAATGGCAGCATGCAATACCTAGTTTGGTAACACATTTTTCACATACATTATATTTCCATCATATATTATATATGTGTGTGTATGTGTGTATACATATTTGTCATTAATACATTATTTTGAATGGTTGGTATTGTTCCAGTTAGATTATCTAAATTTCCAAAGATTTGAAGACTCTGCATTTTTTTTGATGTTCTGTTACCCCTCTCAGTTTCAATATTTAAATCTTCATGTTTCATTTTTCCTTAATTGTGGAAAAGCTTTCCTCAGATATTTCCCATCCATCTTTTCCTCTTTTTGGAACTCCTTTCATGTCACAGAAACAAATTAAGAGAATCAGAAATAGTAGTTAAGAGTTAATATAACAAATTGTGTGAATACATGCTTGCTGTCCTTTCTTCTCTCAGCTTCTTTAAAGAACATAAATTATAGAAACTAGAAATTAAAACAAAAAATTTGTAATATATGTAGCTGTAATATGTGTAACAATAATAGCACAAAGAGGAGGAAAAGGAAAGGGGGACATATGAGTAATAGTTTAATGTATTACTGGAATTAAATAGTATAAAACTGAAGAACATTCTGATAAGTTAAGATGTAAATGATAGGGCTGGGGATGTGGCTCAGTGGAAGAGTGCTTACCAGGCTGCAATGACATCCTGGGTTTGATCCCCAGCAACATACACATACAATGTATATGATAAATCCTAGAGAAGCCAGTAGGAAAACAATTAGAAAATGAATAGTGAAAAAAAAGGATTAAAATGTTAGAAAATATATTAATGTGCCAGGCTCAGTGATGCATGCCTGAATCTCAGCAGCTAAGGAGGCTGAGGCAGGAGGATCACAAGTTCAAGGCCAGCTTCAGCAACTTAGCAAGCTCCTAAGGAACTTGGTGAAACCCTGACTCAAAATTAAAACTAAAATAAAAAGGATTGAGAAATGTAGCTTAGCAGTAAAGCTCCCCTAGGTTCAATACCCAGTACAAAATTTAAAAAGAAAGAAAATATTTAAATGTAAAACGAATTTTAAAAAAAAGCACAAAGGAAAAACTCTGAGATATAAAAAACAAAAAGTAAAGCAACAGGCATAAATCCAATATATCAATAACATTAAAGGTTACTGAATAAAAAATCCATCAAAATGCAGAGATTATCAGGCTGGATATAATTATAAAAATAGATTTAAAGGTACAAAAAGGAAAAGGACTGGGAAAAGTCATGCAGACAGTAGTGGTAAGAAAGTTCATGTGGTTATACTGAGGGAAAGAAAATAGACTGTAATACAAATACTATTCTTAAAGACAAAGAAGGACATTCTTCTGTGACAAAAGAGTCAATCCAACAGGAAGACATTGTGATTATAAATATATTTGTACCTAACAACACAGCCCCAAAATACAGGAAGCAAAAACTAACAGAATTGCAGGAAGAAATAAACAATTAAACAATAATAGTTGGAGACTTCAGTGCCCCATTTTAAATGATGGATTGGCAAGCCACAAAGATCAACAAAGAAATAACAGTTGTGAACAACATTATAAATACTATAACCTCCTCAATCTAACATGCAGTAATACAACACTCCACCCAAGAACAGTAGAATTCATATTCTTCTGAAGTACACATAGAACAGTCTCCAAGATGGGACATATGGTAGGCCTCGATAAATATTTTAAAAAGTGAAATCATACAATGAAATAAAGTTAAAATTAGTAACAGAAGGAAACTTGTGGATTCACAAACCTAAGGACATAAACTGTTGAAATTACCAGTGAGTCAAAAAAAATACAGAAAAGATATTAGAAGATACTTTGAAAAGAATGGATTAAAACACAACATACCAAAACTTGAGATGATAAAAATGAAAATGCAGTGTACCATAACTTATGGGAGGTATTGAAAGCAATGCTAAGGGAAATTTATAGTTTTAAATGCATATATTAAAAAAAAAGCAAGGACTGGGGTTGTAGATCCATGGTAGAGCACTTGCATCACCTGTGTGAGGCCCTGGGTTCAATCCTTAGCACTACATAAAAACAAACAAGTAAAGATATTGTGTTCATCTACAACTGAAAAACGATTTAAAAAAAAAGAAAGAAAGAAAAGAAAAAAGATCTCAAATCAGTAATCTAACCTTTCACCTTAAGACAGGGGTGGGGTGGTGGGGAGCAAATTAGCAGAGCAAACACAAAGAAGAGTAAAAATTAAAATGGATAAATGAAATAGAGAAAATCAACAAAAGCAAAAGTTAATTCTTTGGAAAGGTCAGTAACATTGATAAGCCTCTAGCTATACTCATCAAGGGGAAAAAGGAATAGTAAGAGTATTAAAATTGGAAATGAAACAATGTCATTGCCAACATTACAGAATGTTATAGAAATTAAAAGGATTATAAGGGAAGACTATGAATGAACATCTTTATGGTAACAATATAAAGAAAATGAGCAAATTCCTGGAGAAACACAAAGTACTAAACAGGCTCAAAAAGAAAGAAAATATCTGAATAAGAAAAACAAACCCAGACTGAGAAGACTTCACTGGAGAATATTACCCAACATTTAAGAAAGATTTAATGGCAATTCTTTATAAGCTAGAAATAGAAGATAAGAGAACTTTGACACTCATTCTATCAAGTCAGTTTTACTCAACAAAATACAAGGAAACTAAATCCAACAACATATAAAAAAGATTATGTCATGACTACATGAGAACTATCCCACAAATGCAAGGTTGGTTTAGCATC